GTATATATGTATATATGTATATATGTATATGTGTATATGTATATGTGTATATGTATGTATATGTATAATTCCCTGTCCACACCCAGTGTGTTAATGTAGGCTCCAGCACAAAGTCTCTGGAAGATTGTATACATCTGCAGAACGGATGGATAAATGTTGGATGCGAGTTAATTTTCATATCCTCGGTGCTCAGGTTCAACATGATGAGAAGCTAACTGAGCATGGGTCAGTGATATTCTCTTTACACGAGCACAGAAAAGCTATTCTGAGAGAAGTCTATGCTTTAGAAGGGAGCAGATGGCCTGCTCAGTCATGCAGCTAGATCACGTGAAAAAGGTGGTACCTACCTACTATCGAAAATGTTCTGACCTTGTTTTATTGTGAAAGATTCATTGTTATGTGTGCTATAAGGATGGAAAGATTAAAAGTTATGAGTATTTGACAGCACTGTGTAGAAATAACTATAAAAAATCCAGTCCCCTCAGAGCTCTGACAATATTACGTGTTTATATCTCTGTGAAAAAGCCAAGTCATGCTGCAAACGAACCACCATAACCAATAATATCTGAAAATATGTGGGTAAACTATGAATAATTTAATAATTTAAATAATTTTGAATATAACATTATTTGAAATGCAAATCAAAGACATAACTAGAACTTTTGTTCTTTTGCAAATACAGTTAAGTCATCATATTTTACGTTTTGCTCTATTTTCTTATTGATTGGTATTTCTGCCTTTATACTTTAAATGCTGCATTGTCTTCTCCAACCATTTTAAATGTTCACACATTAAAAAAAAAAAAGTATTCCTGTTGTTACTTTGCTCCATCCCTCCTGTAAATACATCCTAATCTTTCTTTCAGGAATGTTGTTTTTAACAATCCATGAACATTCCCTACACATTTGTTGATACATTGGAGCTCCTCTGTCAGTTTTTCTCCTCTAATATTGTTTTTCATGTTGCTTTTTCATTAAATTATAATTTCCTGTTGATGTTATCTGTTAGAAATAGAGCTGCCATTTCTAACCTGGGCCCGAAGCCTGGCCCGACCCGAATTTGGGGCAGGCTGGGCCATGATAATGTGCTGGATGGGCGGGCCGGGTCGGTGTCAGGTTTTTGATTGCGTCAGAGGATCAGCCGCAATTCAATTATATGGCAACATGGCTTGCCATACATTCACCAGCTGTATGCAGCCATTTCACCACGAGCTACCGGTCTTGAAAGAGGTAAAATAAATTTAAATTAAGCTTCAGATGGGACTATACTGCCAGCGATCCATCGCCCAAATGGACATTCATTCAGCCACTGCACTCAATGGAAGAACGTCAGCCTTTTTTTCCGGGTTCGGACCTGTAATTACTGTTAATTCCTCGGGTAGGGCGGGGTTCAGAAATGATAGCTACGGGCTGGGGCCGGATCAGGTCGGATTTTTTGGTCCTGAATGCAACTCTAGTTAGAAATACCACTGGTTTTTAATCCTTATTAATAGAAATTTCCTATCTCAACTTTTTAAAAATGCCTTTTAGACCTGAAACACAAAATGGGAGCATATTAACAAATTTAATGAAGCTGACAAAACAAAACAGGAAATATATTTTATTCGTGGGGTCCATAATGAAGATGATTGTTATAATTATTCATTAGTTTGTGTGTTTTGCAATTTGATGCTTTCCTACAGTTTTCTGATATAGGCTGCATTTTTACTACCATAATTCTAAAATAAAAAAATAAAACAGATGTTGAGTCAAATGTAAGTATAAACAGAATACAATAAGGTAAAATGTTCATAAATCTGTATTTTATTCACAATGGAACAAAGTAAACTCATCAGATGTTGAAATCAAGAAATTCAGTAATTGTTTGGAACATTAAGACAATTTGAATTTGTCAACATTGTCAGGAGATTTTGGTCAAGGTTTATGGATGCTTTTTAACTACTGTGGCTGAGAATGTTAACTGCCCATGAACCATGATTTTGAGTTATCAGAGAGTTCTTTATTCTCTCGGAGAGAGCTGGATGAGGAGCTGATTTGTTTCTGCATGCACAGCTGGCAGTCCAAGGACCCCAGTCTGTCTGTGAACTGGGAGCTGGTAAGCTTAGAAAAACAAGCCTTGCACACTGCCTGTGACAGATTCTTGTGACTGGGCTCCATGCATGGAAAACTTCTGTACATCTGTGTAACCTGTTGTGAAAGTCTGCCCTTGCAAGTAAAACCGGTTAAAAATCTTCTCCTGTCCTCGAGTGTGGCTTTTTTGAGTAAGTAAGATGAATAGAAGATACTTTTACCCAACAAACATATTCTCAAAATAGTTGGAACATGCTGTGAAAGTAAGAAGAACAAATAAGAAACAGCTGGCGGAGCATTTTACAATAAATCCGGATAAGTGGCAACAGCTCAGTAAGACCGTTTTAGCATTTTAGAGACTGAATGTCCCAGAAGTAAAGATGGGTGGTGGGTCACTGTTCTGCAAAAAACTGTCAAATAATAGTGGAACAGTTGTAGAATAATGTTCCTCAATGGAAAATAGAGAAGACTTTAAATAGACTGAGGCAAATAGAAAAACTGTCCTGTGGTCAGATTAAATGAGTTTGAAATATTTAGAAACTATGAATGGCACATCCTCCATATTAAAGAGGGGAGACCTCTGAGGGAGCTTGTTATCAGCACATTGTTCAAAAACCAGCCTCTCGGTTGGTATGGAGGTGCATTACTGCCTATGGCATGTGCATCTTACACATCTGGAAAGGAACAATCAATGCAGAAATGTATACCCAGGTCTTAGAACGTATGCTCCCATCCAGATGATGCCTTTTTCAGGGATGACCTCGCACATTTCAGCAAGACATAACTGAACTGCACAATGCAATCACTACAACAACATAGCTTTATAGTGGAAAAGTGCAGGTGCTAACGTGGCCTGTCTATAGTCCAGTCCTCTCCAACTGAAAACATTTGATGCATCATGAAATTAAAAAAAAAAACAGCAAAGGATTGTTGAACAGCTAGACAACTCCATCAGACAAGAATGGGACAATATTCCCCTCCAAAAACTCCAACTGGTCTCCTCAGTTCCTAGATGTTTACCAAGTTTTGGTAAAATAAGAGTGAATGCTAAACAGTAAGAAACATGAGCCTGTTCCAACTTTTTTTAAAATAATGTTGCTTCCATCAAATTCAAAATTACTGTATTTTTCCCACGAATGGTACATTTGTTTAGTTTAGGCATTTGATTTACTGTGTTTCATTGCAAATAAAACGTGGATTTATAAGATTTATACATCACTGTTTTCACTATATTGTCAGAAGAGGGTTGTGTAATGTTTTACCACCACTTGTTACTAAACAAAATAAAACTTTTTTTTTTCCATCACTACATTTTTTTGGTGCTTTACTGAAATCATTAATCTGATCAGTGTTGATGTGAGCAAATTTCCCACCTGAAGACATTTCTGTAATAGTTGAGGGCTCCTGTCAGAGCTCCTGGCTGTGAGAGTGCATACAGATAGGCCTCCAAGTCTTCTGCAGTCAGCCACCGGCCTTTTCTTCCAAACCCTGTGCTGCGGCTGGTAAACAAATCTTTCAGCGCCTGCAGCAGAGACAGCAACAAATGTTGGGTAAGTTTCTGGCTATAACAATTTCATCTGAAGAGTCTTTAGAAAAGGACAGCCTCGTTGATGACATGAGAAGAGATCAGCCTCAGTGACCTTCAGAGGTGGTTCTGGCACTCTGGCTGACTGATGGCTTGACAGCATCCCATGCTGGGTTTCTAATTCTGAAAACTCCAGCACAAGTAGAAGGCAGTGTTTGTTCAGTTAATTAGTAACATCAACACTTCTTTTGTTGCAAAAAAAATCAGTTAAATAAATATAGAAATCTTCAAAGCTTGTTTTCAAAGCTTACATTATTTATGAGAATTCTCTGACATGAAAAGGTAAATAGTTTAATATTTTAGACTTTACGTTTGTGTTCTTAATTTCCCTCCTTTGGACATGTCCAAACCATCTCAGTCTGGCCTCTATATCTCCCAGTCCTTCAACCTGGGCTGTACCTCTGATGATCTCATTCCTAATCTTATCCAGCCTTGTTAGTCCTATAGAAAATCACATCTTCATTTCTGCCACTTCCAGTTCTTTCTCCTGTCTTTTTGTCCATGTCTCTTTCTCCAGACCATACAACATATCTGGTCTCACTACAGTCTTGTAAAATTTTCCCTTTGCTGACACCCTTTTGTCACAAATCACTCTTTAAACTTTCTTCCATCCATTCCATCCTGCTTGGACTCTCTTTTCCACCTCTTTACCACCCTCCCCATTTCCTGGACCTGAAGTCCTGCACTTTTGTGACCTCTGATCCTTCTAGCCTCACTGTTCCACCAGCCTCCCTCGCATTCACACAGGTACTCTGTCTTACTACGGCTGACTTTCATTCCTCTTCTTTCAAGTGCATACCTCCACCTCTCCAAGTTCTCTTCCACCTGATCCCTGTTCTCCCACAGATCACAATGTCATCTGCAAACATCATAGTCCACAGGAATTCCTGCCTGACCTCATCTGTTCGTCTGTCCATCACCAGAGCAAACAAGAAGGGGCTCAGAGCCAATCCTTGACCCAATCCCACCTCTACCTTGAAGCTATCTGTCACTCCTACAGCACATCTCACCACTGTCCTGCTGTCCTCATAGATGTCCTGTACCAGTCTAACAAACTTCTCTGCCACTCCAGATTTCCTCATGCAATACCGCACCTCCTTCCTCGTCACCCCATTTTCTAAATCCACAAAGACACAATGGAGTTCTTTCTGACCCTCTCTGTACTTCTGCATCAGCATTCTCAAAGCAAAGATGGCATCTGTGGTGCTCTTTCTTGGCATGAAACCATACTGCTGCTCACAAATTGTCACCTCTCGTCTAAGTCTTGCTTCCACAACTCTCTCCCAGATCTTCATCGTGTGGCTCATCAACCTAATTCTCCTGTAGTTGCTACAATTCTGTACATCATCCAACTGGAGCAGCTGTGAAGCAGCAGATCAGGTAAAAAGCAGAATGACAAGAGACAACAGACAAAATTCATTGTTGTATGAGGACATACATTGATGACATTACACATAATACAAATGATCATTGCTCCTAAAATGGACACCAGCACACTTGCTATTGAATATTTGAGTCAAAATTCTAATTTCCGTCTCTCCAAGACATTTCCAAACCTCCACTGGTATGTCATCAGGTCCTACTGCCTTCCCTTTCTTACATCTTTTCAGAGCTTTCTGGACTTCACCCTCATTCATCTTTCCCACTTCCTGGTCCACAGTTTCTATGACCTCTACTCTTCTTTCTCTTTCCAAAATTTTTCAGTCAGATCATCTGGACAGTTTCTTTTTTTTGTGCTGAAACGTTTCTCCTTCGATCCGGAAGGCTTCATCAGTCAAGGAAACGCACAACACAAAACTGATTCTTCCCCCAACAACTTACTCCAAAGTGGAACAAACCAGTTACGTTGGTACTAAGATGGTCTCTTTGGCATGCCCCCTCCTCCATTGCCGGCCCTCTTCCTTGTTGACAGTCGTGTCAAACTGGTTGAAAACAACAAAGTCCAACAAAGTCATGCTTCTTTCTTTTTCATTCTCTTCATTCATTAGCTTCTCAAAGTACTCCTTCCATCTTCCTGTCACACTCTCCTCACTTGTTAGAACATGACCATTCCTATCTTTAACAAGCCTAACCCACTGCATGTCCTTTCCAGCCTGATCCCTCTGTCTCACCAATTGGTTCAAGTCCTTCTCACCCTCTTTAGTGTCCAGCCTCTTGTACAACTTATCATAGGCCTTCTGTTTTGCCTGTGCTTCCTCCCTCTTTGCTCTAAATTGCATCTCCTTACATTCCTGTCTCCTCTCTTCAGTCCTCTCACTGTCATATTATTTCTTGGTTAACCACTTTCCCTGGATAACTTCCTGCATTTCACTATTCCACCACTATGGCTTCATATCATCTTTTCTTTGGCAAAAAGACACACCAAGTATCCTACCCGTCTCTCTAATTACTGTTACATAAAAACGTTTGCTGTGTAATCACCTCTCACCTTTAGCAGCGTGTGATAGAACGACCTACTAAACAACAGACAAGCCACTGCACCAGCATATGAACACACACATGCACACACAAAACCTTGACCTTGACAGCTCTTAAGCCCACGCATGAGTGACCACCTTGAAATCGTTGATGGAAAGCATGAGCTCTGGGAGGCGGGGCAGCTGGAAGAAAAAAAAATGGCTGGACTTCAGCAGCTGGCTCGGGTGGCGCACAGCATAATCTGAAGGGGAGGAGAAGAAGAAGGATGAAGGAGAAGTTCAGCTTTTAATTAAACCAAAGTTTGCACACACGGTGAGGCTGTGGGTGTGATTTGACTCTGCTGCCCTATCTTCACTGGTTAAACCTTCTGTTCTAGCTTCATATAAGGCTCCTGTAATTAGCTTCTCGTCATCATCCCCTAAAGGCAAAGAGGATTTGGCAGCTGGATGCCAGCATGCGATTGAAATAATAAGACATCCTAATTAATGGTCATAATTCCAGTAATAATACAAATGGGGCCTCTCTAAGTACAACAAAGTGATGTTTCTCCCTTCAAAACAAAGAAATGTTTGAGAATGTGCTTGTTCACATACAATGAGTCCTACCTGTGAATACAGATGGATGGGGACAGTTCAGGACAATGAGCTTTGTCACAATCTCAGGGTAATGGATGGCAAACAGCCACGCTATCGTCCCACCCCAGTCATGGCCTACAAGGCAACATCTGTTGTACCCTTGGGAGAAAAGCAAAATAACACATTCAATGTCTAAAAAAGACACTCTGGTGACTATAACACTAAATGGGTGTCCTTGTTGATGGAAAGGACTTTCCATCCACTTTCTAATAAAGTTGTTTTTTTCTGACATACATCCAAAACAAACCTGGGGGTCATTCAGATCACATTGAACTTCAAGTTCTTAATTCCCTTCCTTGTGTAACACACACAGTGTTGACAAAGTCTTCACACTCCTTGAATTTGTCCACATTTTGTGATGTTACAACCACAGACCTCAAAGTATTTTACTGGGATTTTATGTGTGGGTATTTTCTGGGTACTCTGGTTTCCTCCCACAGACCAAAAACATGCATGTTAGGCTGATTGGTAACTCTAAATTGTCCCTAGGCGTGAGTGAGAGTGAATGGCTGTTTGTCTTGTTCGTCTCTATGTGTCCCTGTGTTGGATTGGAGACCTGTCCAGGGGTCCCCCGCCTCTCACACAGTGATGGCTGAATATGAGTACCAGTGACCTCCGCGACCCGAAAAGGAATAAACAGGTAAAGATGATGGATGGATGGATGGATTGTAAAATGGAAGGAAAATCACACCAGGATTTTAAAACTTCTAAATAAAGATGTGAAAAGTGAGCGATATTTAATTTAATCACGCTCTTCTTTGAAACCCAAACTAAAATGCAGAACAACCACTTACATCTGAAGTCATCTGATTAATAAATAAGAGTGTGAAATTTAATTTCAGTCAAATTCCAGCTGTTCCGTGAAAGCCTCAGAGGTTTGTTACAGAACATTAGTGGTTGAGCAGTATCATGAAGACCAAGGAACATGCCAGAGGTTGTTGAGAAACCTAAAGCAGAGTTACGTTATAAAACAATATCCCACACTTGAAACACATCACTGAACCACTAATCAATTCAACATCTGAAAACGGAAAGAGTATGACACAACTGCACACAGTGGTGCAGGGTGGTGGCAGCATCATGCTGTGGGAACATCTTTCATTCCTAGAGACTGGTAAACTGGTCAGAGCTAGAAGAAAGATGGATGAGGCAAAGTATGGTGAATTTTGTAAGTGAAACCTGTTTAAGTATTTCCCAGATTTGAGACTGGGATGGACAGAGAATGTATGCATGCTCTTCTTTTTAGTCTTTATTTTGAAAATTTATTAAATCCTTTACATATTTTGTACAATTATTTATTGTTCATAAGTTTTTAAAAAATCTAATTAATTTTCATGTTGTATGGAAAACACACAAAAATGAACAAAAAGAAGAAATAATTACATAACCCACTTTAAATTGAGTATTAATAATCAATCAATCAATCAACTTAATTTATATAGCACATTTTAAAAACCACAAGGGTAGCCAAAGTGCTGCACAATAAAACAATAAAAACAAACAAAACAATAAAAACATACAAAGCACACACAAAGAAACATAAAAACCATTCACATACCAGTTTCACAGCAGGTGTATTAAAAAGCCATAAAAGTTAAGATCACGTGTTAAAAGCCAAAGAATAAAAGTGTGTCTTTAAAAGACATTTAAAAACAGGAAGAGAGGAGGCCTGTCTGACACTCAAGGGTAAAGTGTTCCACAACCTGGGAGCAACAACAGCAAACGCTCTGTCACCTCTGAGCTTCAGCCTAGTTTTAGGGACTGTCAGCAGCAGCTGATCAGCTGATCGTAGGGATCTGGGTGGACGGTAAGGCTGAAGCAGCTCAGACAGATATGGTGGGGCAAGGTTGTTCAGACATTTAAAAACAAACAGCAAAAGCTTAAAATTAATTCTGTAGTTCACAGGGAGCCAATGAAGGGATGCCAGGATGGGAGTAATATGCTCGCGCCTACGAGCCTGAGTTAACAGGCGAGCAGCAGAGTTCTGCACAAGCTGCAAACGAGCAAGAGACGTCTGGCTAATGCCTGCATACAGCGCATTACAGTAGTCAAGACGAGCTGTGATAAAAGCATGAATTAATTTCTCCAAGTCAGGTCTTGCTAGGATTGGTTTCACTTTTGCTATTTGGCGGAGCTGATAAAAACTTTTCTGAACAACACTGCTGATCTGTTTTTCAAATTTAAAATCAGACTCAAACTTCACCCCCAGATTGGTGACACAGTCCTTGAGATAAAATGACAGTGAGCCAAGATCTATGCTGGGAGAAGAACGGCAACTTGGTCCAAACATCATAACTTCAGTCTTGTTCTCATTTAGACTAAGGAAGTTAAGAGAGAACCATGTCTTAACATCATTAAGGCAGTGTGTAAGTTGTTGAACTGTGTTGTTTTGTGCCATGGGAAAATAGATCTGGCAATCATCAGCATAAAAGTGAAATAAAATGCCATGCTTCCTAAAAATCGAGCCAAGGGGGAGTAAGTAAAGGGCAAATAAAAGAGGGCCAAGGATTGAGCCCTGGTGGACACCATGTGGAAGAGGAGCAGTGGAAGACATAAAATTGTCGATTTTTACGCAGAAGCTCCTATTGGTTAAATATGACTGAAACCAATTGAGGGCGACACCCCTGATGCCCACACAGTGCTCAAGACGAGAGATTAAATGCTGTGATCAACAGTGTCAAATGCAGCAGACAAATCTAAGAGCACTAAAACAACAGACTTTCCGGAGTCTGTGGACAAGAATATATCATTTGAAACCCTCAAAAGTGCACTCTCTGTACTGTGGCGGGCTTTAAACCCAGACTGAAACGGCTCTGTGATACCATTGTCCTCTAAAAATGGTAACAACTGGTTGTAAACAACCTTAATAGTTTTGAAATAAATGGGAGATTAGAGATAGGCCTGAAATTGGAGCAGAGAGAGGGGTCAAGACCTGTTTTTTTGAGTAGAGGGCATACAAATGCATGTTTAAAAGCCTCAGGTACTATACCAGAGGAAAGACTGCTATTGATAATCTGAAGTACTCTTGGTTCAATAGTGGAAAATACCTCCTTAAACAAACGAGGTGGGATGGAATCTGCAGGAGAACCAGAGGGCCTCATATGATCAACTGTGTCCTGTAGAAAAGAGAAGGAAACCGGCTCAAACTGATCAAAAACAGATGAGTGGTGTAGAGGAATAGAAGGATCATAGGAAGGCTGAGAAATACAAGCTCTGGTTGACACAATTTTATCAGTGAAGAAGTGGAGGAAACTTTCACAGATTTCAGTGGAGGCATCAAAACCAACAGACTTGGGAGCATGGAGAACAATATCTATGGTTTTGAACAAAACTCTGGGGTTGTTACAGTTAGAAGAAATTATGCCTGAGAGATATTTGTTCTTTTCGGCTTTTACAGTTTTCTGATAATGTAACAGACTCTCTTTGAGAATATTAAAAGAAACATGTAATCTGTCCTTTTTCCACCTGCGCTCCGCTTTTCTGCACTCGCGCCTGGCAGCGCGCGTGACGTCACCCAGCCAGGGTTCGGGGGTAGGTTTGGTGCGCCGGTTCTTCAAAGGAGCGATCGTGTCCAGTGTTTGTAAACAGACAGAGTGGAAGCTGGAAACCAGTTCATCAATATTTAAACTAAGAGAGTCTTTAGAGTTATCCTCGCAGAGACATAAATAAGCCCAAAAGATGAGGAAAATTTATGAAAATGTTCAAACTTATCACCAGCTGATTTCTTAGACATGTAACTAAATCTAAAACTAAAGGCAGTGCCTGAGTGCATCTGAAGTGTTGAGAAGGGTTCTGAGCTTTGTTCCTCCTCATATGCATCAACTTCTGTCTTAATAAGCAAGTCAAGTCAGCTCCTTACAGTAAATATATTAAAAAAATATATTTTTATTAGCTCTGCTGTCTTAATTGGTGCAAAAACAGCTGCTTTACACATCTGGTTATGAGATGTAGCTGTGAATGAGAATCTTTCCTGACATTTTGTTGCTAAAAATAAACAGAACCTGCCAGAAGAGCTAAAATAAGAAAATATTTGTGTTTGGTCGCTAACGGAGCAGAAACTGTTGTAGCCAGCTGATGGTTGTATGTGCAGACGGCTTTCGGCTGCTGGGCTAAGCCTTAGTCACAAGAAGTGTGTCCTGCAGGCCTGAGGGCTGTCCACACATCAATGAACAAGATGATTTTAGGTTCTGACACACAATCCAGTCCCAGAGGGATTTAAAGATCGCAGATCTTTTCTTCTGTATTTTCTTACCGAGGTACTCCACGATATCTTTCACATCCGTCACCAGGTGATCGAAGTTGTAACTCTCAGTGGCGAGCGGCACGTCAGATTCACCGTATCCTCGCATGTCGACAGCCACCACACGGAACTCACTCTTAAACTCCCGCAGCTGGTAGCGCCAGGAGAACCTGAGGCACACACACACACACACACACACACAGAACAACAACTGTTAATATTCGTATGCTTCTTTAAGCTTGTAGATACCGTCAAGCTCATTTTAGCTTTAATCTGTGGTTTTACTAACTTTAACTTTTAACTATCATTTTGCTACATTCAGCCTTTTGGCTACACATTTGTCAGTTTCAACTTTTAAGCTAATCACCTTTAGAGTTTAGATATTGTTTTGTAGTTTTAGGTTTTAGCTACGGTTTAGCTACATTTAGCACTTGGACACTGTTTAGCTAAATATTAACATTTAGCGACTGTCTGACAAAATTTAAGTTTTATCTACACCTTTGCTAATTTTATTAATTGCCTACAATACTGCTACATTTACCCTTTAGCTAATGTGTTGCTATTTTAGCTTATAGTTGTAGTTTTGCTACATTTAACTCTTAGTGATGACAGTTAATATTAGCCTTGAGCTACTGCTTTCCAAATTTTAACTTTTTGATACAATTGTGCAGCATTAGCTTTTAGATAGTGTTTTGCTTATTTTACCTTTTGACAAATGTTTTGCTATTTCTAGGTTTTAGCTATGGTCTTGCTAATTTGAACTTTTAGCTATAATTCTACAAATATTAAATATTAGTTATAGTTTTGATACATCTAGCTTTTAGCTGCTATTTTTTTTTAACTATCAACAGTCTCGATAATTTTAGCTATTTGCTACAGGCCAGCCAATTTTAAATATTAGCTATGATTTTGCTACATTTAGCCATTACTTTGGTGGGACACTAATGTTCATTACTCACATTAATGGGCCTCAAACTGCCCTGAAGTGGTCTTGGATAGAGAAACTGCACTTTTGTCCCAGTATAAAGACAATGTTTTTTTGTACAGTATTCATCTAAATAATTATTGAGAAAATAGTTGTAAATCGATTGTGTGAACATCTGAACAGAAATAATCAGTTTGAAGAGTTTCAGTCAGGGTTTAGAGCTCATCATAGCACAGAAACAGCACTAGTAAAAGTCACTAATGATATTCTCATGGCCTCAGACAATGGACTTATGTCTATAGTGGTCCTGTTGGACCTCAGTGTTGCATTTGATACAGTTGATCACAATATTTTATTACAGAGGCTTGAATATTGGGATTACAGGAACAGCTCTAAAATGGTTAAAATTATATTTATTTGATAGATTACAATTTGAAAATGTAAATAATAAATCTTCTTCATACACCAAAGATAGTCATGGAGTTCCTCAGTGTTCAGTGCTTGGGCCAATACTCTTTACTTTAGATATGCTTCCATTAGGTAAAATTATTAAACAGCATGGGATAAATTTTCATTGTTATGCTGATGACACACAATTATATTTGTCCATTAAACCCAATGAATCCAATCAGCTACTTAGACTACAAGCATGTCTTAAAGACATAAAAACCTGGATGACCCTTAATTTTCTCATTTTGCACACAGACAAGACTGAGGTTTTGGTTTTTGGACCTGAGCATCGTAGGAATTAATTTTTCAGTCTTTCTCCCTCCTTAGATGACATTAATCTGTCCTCCAGCTCTAATGTTAAAAATCTTGGTGTTATTTTTGATCAGGACATGTCTTTTATCCCCCACATTAAAAACGCTACTATAACTGCCTTCTTCCACCTGCGTAATATCACTAAAATGAGAAACATCTTATCTAAAAATGATGCAGAAAAACGGGTCCATGCATTTGTCACGTCTAGACTGGACTACTGCAATGGTTTATTATCTGGATGTCCAAATACTTCTTTAAAACGTCTTCAGTTGATACAAAATGCCGCTGCCAGAGTCTTAACTGGAGTTGGTAGGAGAGATCATATTTCTCCAGTTTTAGTTTCTCTCCATTGGCTCCCTGTCAAGTCCAGAATTTAATTCAAAATCTTACTTCTAACCTACAAAGCTCTCAACAACCTGGCTCCATCTTATATTACAGATCTTATTGTTCCATATTTTCCTAACAGAGCACTTCGCTCTCAGACTGCAGGTTTACTTGTGGTTCCTAGAATTTACAAAAACAGAATAGGAGGCAGATCCTTCAGTTATCAGGCTCCTCTCTTGTGGAACTAACTTCCAGGTTCTGTTTGTGAGTCTGACACATTGTCTAGTTTTAAGACTGGGGTTACTTTCCTTTTTGATAAATCCTATAGTTAGGGTTGGCTTGGGTTTCCAGAGCTATCCATTAGTTATGATGCTATAGGCTTAGAATGCTGGAGGACAAATTGACCACATTTCTTCACTCTACTGCCGTCTCTACTTACTCGACCTGTTTGTATTTGTAATTATTTCTATCCCCAGCTGGTTCAAGCAGATGGCTGCTGGACCTGAGCCTGGTTCTGTTGGAGGTTTTCTGTTAAAAGGGAGTTATTACTTTCCACTGTTGCCACTGTGCTTGCTCAGGATGGGAGACTGTGATGAAGTGAAGATTCTATACAATCTGCTGCTTCCTTAGACAGCACAGTGTGCAGAAGTAAACTGAAAAAACTTGTGGAAAAATAAAAAAAATGTGTAAATTGCATTCACAGTGCTGATCAGTGTTTTAAGAGGTTAACTGATGGATTTGAAATGTTTAATATGAAGAAAGTGACAAGTGAAGCAGACCACGCTCCCGCCTGCTTCTCATGAATCTCTGCTCTGACCTCAGCCGAGTCAGGATGACAGCTCCTGACAAGCACCGTGGCCCCAATCCAGGCACAACACTCCACATTGTTTTTATTTCATTTCTGGGGGAGGAGATCGCGAACACTTTAGACCCATTAAATCACTGTGATGTCAAACCGTGTGCGTGAATGAGGTGAGTGAGGATTTGTGCAGTCAGATTGCAGAGATTTAACTGAACTGCAGCAGAGGATCGCAGTGTGGCCAAGTTTTAGAGAGGAGACAGCTGAGCAACGGCACCAGAGGAAACCTCAATTTGGTCTACAGCAGAGGACCCGGTTTACCCTCCAGACCCTTTACCTACCAGAACTCAGGGAATCCGTGCAGAAAAAGCATGAGAGGCTTCCCTCGCTCTCCAGCTGCAACGTAGTGGAATCGAAGGCCGGACTCCTGCGCACGCACGAGACACACAAATACATTAAACTGACATCAAGTCAGCAAACTGGCATCACCGGAAAAATACTCAGAAAAATTATTGAAAAGCATTTTTTTTCTCTTCATTCAGCTGATATAAATAACAGCTTAACACAACAAAAACCTTTCAAAAAATATTGTTTACAAATACAAACCGGATTCCAAAAAAGTTGGGACACTAAACAAATTGTGAATAAAAACTGAATGCAATGATGTGGAGATGGCAAATGTCAATATTTTATTCATAATATAACATAGATGACAGATCAAAAGTTTAATTGAGTAAATGTAACATTTTAAAGGAAAAATATGTTGATTCAAAATTTCACAGTGTCAACAAATCCCAAAAACGTTGGGACAAGTAGCAATAAGTGGCTGGAAATAGGAAATTGAGCATATAACGAACAGCTGGAAGACCAATTAACACTAATTAGGTCAATTGACAACATGATTGGGTATAAAAAGAG